ACCACCCACTTTATGTTCCCTTTGTTGGTTATCGGACTGTGGTGAGACCCTTTGAAAGAAAGTAATTTGTGATTTTTTATTTCCGGGCGAGTTAGTGAAAACTGCCCAAAGAAGAGGGAGAATGATGAAAATGCAAATTTTAACCAATAAATATGCGCATATTTAGCTGTTCTACTTTGATTGATATATTCAATAAATTATTAATTTAGCATTATTTTATCGTCGCCGCTCAAATCTGAAAACGATTATTTTTTTACGATTTGACGCTTAGTTTAAGCCAGGAAAATGAGTTCTTCCCGTAGTCTTGGGCAGTTTCTTCACTTTTGTGAAAGCATTTCCTAATTACGCTCATTTGCCCAAAAGTTAAAAAAAAACATGCCTAAGTAATGCTTGTATTTTTCGCTTTAATTGATCGATTAACAATCTTTGGAAAATAAACAAAAACAGACCACGAATTTGTGAAGTCCCGCTGACTGCATTCAACCCAATTTTTTTTACGGTTTGTTTTTGCATGGCTTTTGGTTTGTTGACTTAGTCTTGGCCAGAATATTTGGCGCCTATTATTTACTACATATGTACTATGTACATATGTATGTTATTGTATTTTGTTTTGGCTGCAGCCTTATGCCGATTAAATTTGAAAACAACCACAAGTAATCAATTATTTCAAAGAATTGGAAATGTTTGCCCACTTTCAAACAAGTGCCAAAAAACTGAATGCGGAGCGTACAATGTTCGTTTTTTTTTTTTTTTGAAGTGTGGAATGCGCAAAATCAACAAAGGGATAGAAATTGCAATTAATCAATCGTAAAAAATTAAATACTACAATTTTCAACAATGTTTCCGCAATTCAGTAATGGCGACTTGGACTTGAGTGTATGCCCTGGCCAATGTAACTAGAAAAGATTTACATACATTCCACTAAATTGTGCAGTTCTATGGTGAAAGGTTCACATATGTGCGCATTAGGGTGTCCTTAAACGTAGGAAGCAAGTTTTTACATCAGATTTCCTGAGCCTCAATCCTTGCGTCGATGCCACTATAGTCACATATATATTTTAGTCCCGATTGAAGTCGGTTAAAGCGCGTGGCATAGGGGTCAAAGCTCAGATTACCCTATGAAGACGTCTTAACGGACTCCAATCGGGACCAAAATTTATATGTGATATCTTGGGCTTTAGTAGCATTGATTTTGAATATTCAATGGGAAAAAATATTTATAATTTTTTGAGTCTATAGAGGCATCTGATCTTTGATCCCTTTGCGACACGCCTTAAACGTCTCCAATCGGGACCAGAATTTATATGTGATATCTGTGACCGTAGTATTACCGATTGAGGGGATGAGACTTAAAAAGATTGTTCATTTGATTTTTTAAGGACAACCCTAATGTACATAGAAAAGTAATACTTTGTATTGAGTGCCGTTCTAGGGTGAAAACGAGAGTGCTATAATGGTCCTTTCAAGCCAAAAAATCTAAATGTCTAATGTTATTGCCAAGACCTTTTCATAAAATCTTGCTAAACTGGAGCTACTCATTTTACAAGTCTTTAACAAATTCATTTTTAAAGAGAAATGTTTTACCAGGGTCCACATCACGGCTTTCATGATTGAAAGAAACTCTTGCTTGAAAGCTTTGAGGGGCTGGTCGATCTGCATTTAGGAATGGCTTCTCTCGCAATCGTTTGTCGGGAGTTCAACATCCTCAAGTCAAGGCAGCGGTAGCGGTAGCGGTAGGAAGGACGCAAGCTTGCTGCAAGGGTCGGTGGAGGGCGAACGCTGGAATAGAACCGGGCCATGCGGTACTGCGAGGTCATCCTGGCCGAGTGAGGTCCAAGGAAGGTTTGGGATCTCCTTAGGCTCACGAAGCCGGACCTTTCAATTCTGGTGGGGGACTGACCGGCCATTATCCTATCGAGGTATACGCAGTGAGAATAAATATCACACAAGACTCCTTCTGACGCTGTTTCATGGTGTACGATGAGGTGGAATGGTATCAACATTTCCTCTTGGAGTGCCCGGCTGTTGCGGCCCAAGCATTTGGGTTCGTACTTTGTTTGTCCGGAGGAGCTCTCCGGTACTAACATCTGCCGCGTGCGAGACTTTGTTCTCGGCACACAGCGATTGTCGTTCAATTTAGCAGTTACCGTTCGCAGTAGTATCAGAAAGGACCAACACGTTCACATTCCAAGTGAATATCTGGATAAGGGGAAACTACCATAACCAAACCTCAACTAGCTCTACCGGAGTTTTATATTCAAAGACTTTTATTTTAAGACTTATATTATAAAAGTCTTTTCATAATAATTATGAGCGCGAAAAAAAATTTTTAATTCTTAAAATACGGGACTTGTTCAGGAGCATCTCAGGATTAGGTGGGGACTAGTTCGGGACTATATACAAAATTTTTTGGCACTCATAATTATTATCAAAAGCCCTTATTATATAAGCATCAAAATAAAAGCATTTAAAGACTTAAAAATATTTATCTCAATGATAATTATTATGACAACACTTTTATAATATAAGTTTAAAAATAAAAGTCTTTGAAGCCTTAAAATATTTATCTCGTTGATAATTATTATGAAAATACTTCTAAAACATTTTCTCACACATAATTATTTCCAAAAGACTTAGAATTCTTACGAAAATTTGGATGATTTTTTTAAAACTCCACCATGAAATAATTATTATTCTGGGTCTCTAGTAGATACAGATCCATGACGGAGATGGAAATTTCCTAACTCCACTCTTTGTTCACCTTCATTTGATATTTTGGCACTATCGCAACTTTCAAGCTTTTTGGCAGATAGCAGCCATGTACGTGGGTTTTGACCGGGTCTTCCAACTAGCCGAATACACTTTTATATCCGAGCGCTTCTTTGGAAATTGTTTAGAATAAAATTGTACATATGAATATCACCAAGGCTCGATCGTGGTCGCTAATTTCCCGCGCGGAGATCGAAAGTTTTTTTTGCCAGGCCCTCTTTCAGTAAAAGTTTGTGGCACGTTCTCCGATTTTTTCCTACCTTTGATTAGACTAACTGAAAATGTTGGCGCTCCTTGCGGGCATGCTGCCGAAATTCTCGCACATACATACGTGGGATGCAACGATTTTCCTAAACGCTCTTCGCCTCTATTCAGTTCACTTACGCATGAAGTTGAAATAGTGAAATCAGCCAAAATACATCCGACGACGCCCTCGCGTTTCAGATTTTTCTAATTATTCGCTATTTTCTTTTCATTCAAATAATCTCTGCTGTCTTCCAAACAGAATAAATATTTTCATATTTTGAAAAGCTGACAAAAATACCAATTAAAAATTCTCGCTGGTGTCCAAATTACCCGCAAGTCCATTACCCACTCACTTATAAGTCACAATAGCAGCAACAAATAGTAAAGCCGATGACGACTTCGGAAATGTAGAACACACAATGTGCCGGCTGCCACTAGCTCGAGTGGTCGTTGGACCAGCGGTCGAGCGCTTGCTTAGTTGACAATGTGACGTGAGCGAATTTTCAATTTTCCGGCTGCTCATGTGCTCATCCTCATGCTGACGACAACAACGACAACTATACTAAAACACAATAATCTGAGAATTTTTTTTTTTTTTTTTTTTGGGGAAACGTTGAAAATGCGAACCGTATTTTTCGGTTTAGTTTGTGAGTGGAAGATCGGCGATCGAGGCGAGCAACGAGTTCTAAAAACTAGAAATCGACCAGCCGCCGAGACGGAAGCAGACGACATTTGCCGCAGTGCTTTGCTAGAACGGGCGTTATGTAAGCGTTTGACATTGTTTTGCCATTTTGGCTGCCAATGAATGCAATTGTGCCGATTAACTGTGCTTTAAATATCGAAAAAAAATATATATGTATATAAATATAAATTCCTGCAGTAAATAAATAGAAAAAGCGCTATTAAATAGAGCTTCGAAACGTGTTCTTGTAAAAGTTAAAAACGTGAAAAAATCGTGTCGAAACTACATACGTAAATACTTACAAAAAGAAAATTGTGTGAAAAATATTTATTTTTGGAAAATGTTGACACACACGCACTACGTTTAACGGTTTACATACCCACTTACATATAAATAGATGTCGTGCGCATACATAGTAGTGTGTGTGTGTGTGTGTGTGTATGCATGTGTTTAAGCTGGTCAATCAACAGGCCAAACAACACTTCAACTGGAACACTTCATACCAATACTAGGCGCACCAGTACAGTGCAGTGTAGTGTAAAACTCTCGAGTGAACTTAATAAATTCTGCATTTTGTATGCAATTGCTGGTGTTGGAAAAGTGGCGAAAACTTCTTGCAACGCATACAAATCGTGAAATTTATAAAAATAGCGCAGAAAATTTTCAAAAATAACACAGAGCAGCACCTCCCTGGGCTGGCTGTTTGATTATTTGGCTGCTTTGGCTGCTTTGGCTGGTTGGCTGGCTGGCTAACTTGCACATCTTGTTCATATTTTGGGAATTAGTGCGGCAAATAAACATACACATATACTAACATCTGACTAAGCTGTCAACGAAAATTTGTGCTTCTTACATATTCTACATACGTAGCGTATGTTTGCATACATATATTTGTGTATGTTGGGTGATTAAAACGCGACGATTACAACCATAAATTGCATTTTGGCGAGGAAGCATAAGCAACAGCATTTACAAACATACATTAGCTAAGACCACAGGAAATCGGGCCAAATAACGGGTAAGTGGTTGCCGGGTGTCGGAATTACACATCTTAATTAAGCAACAATACATTTGTACTAAATAAGTGAGCCAAATTAAAATATACCTAATCATTCGCCTCTACTTAGCAGCGTCAGCGGCTAATTGATTTCCGCAGCGGAAAGCTACGCCAGCACACAATTTTTGTCATTTATTGCCAATTTTAACGCAATCTACCGCCCACCTCTGTTGAGAAATACATACATACATACATACATATGTATGTACATTAGACCGTACCACCAACTTCCAAGCAAACAAACAAGTTCGCCGTACACCACCGAGTCTAAAGTATTTTTGTATGGCAATTAGGAAAAAAGCAATTTTGCCGAACCTAGGCACTTCTACTTTTTAGTGTGACAACTACATTGGTGTCAGAAATAAAAGTCTAGCTACATATGAGGCCTTGAGGGCCAGAGTAGCCTAACTGACATTTCAAAAAAAAAAGAGGTGCACCTTAAAATGCATTACTGCACTCGGCCAAAATCGCTTAGGCAGTTACAGCGCCAATAAAGAGGAAGAAGGAGGAATCGAAACGGCAATAGCCCGAGGCACACCCTTTTAGTTTTCTTTTACTATAATAAAAAGACCGCATTTATTTTTTATAGATTCTTCTTTCTCATATTACTAAAAATAATTTATTTGTAGATAATAGGCTCCTCTGGCCCTCATGGCCTCATATGTAGTTATACAGCAAACACCATATAAATCCACACTACAAACTTTGCCCAAAAATTTAGCAAAATTTTACCAAAATTTCCAACAGTCAGAATTTTTGATATGAAGTTTTATAGTCCATTGAATTTTGGTATAATAAAGTGTATGTGTCAAGTGGCTTCAAAATACCGTTGATTTTTAATATTATTTGTTTTTGAAGTGAAACTCCTTTACCGGCGATTGGTTGGTTGAGAGTAAATTGGCAAACTGAACGGAAATCGCACACGGAAATGGTTTTGATTTACATACTACCGATATCTTTATCGACATCATAATCGATTTTTTTATCGATATTTTTGATCGGTTTTGTTATCGATATTTTTATTGATTTTGTTGTTGATATTTTTTGATTTTGTTATCGATATTAGAACGAAATGAGTAGACGTAAGGATAAAAATAAAAAAAAAGATAACATATAACCTTGAGCTTGTAAGATTATGGCCCCTATTGCGAGTGTCGACTGGCAGTAGAATAGAAATTTGTCGATCGAGTCGATCATCTTTTATTTTGCTATTGTGTAACTTGATCGATAAAAATTTGTATTATTGTGAATGGTTGACAGAATTATAAACAGCTGTTTGTTTGTTTACATTTGTTTCTTGAGTGTTTTATTTACATAATTTTTAAAATAATTGCTTTTATTATAAAATTAAAAAAATGGACACAGTTGAAATATGGTTTAGTGAAGAGGAAGATGATGCGGAAGCTAATAGATTAGTAGAGTTAGCTAAAGCAAGGAGGGAATTGCGAGATTCGTCGGATCCCTTGGACTTGGAAGGTGTATGTACATGTGTGAGTTTTATGAATAGAAGTTGCGTTCCCGATGCTTCACTGTTTTTAGGCTTTACATGATTTGCAGGAAAAGCTGTTTTCCGCATTAATAAACTTTATGGAAGTTTAAGAAATACGGTACGGTTAAGTTTTTTGTACAATGATGTTGGGTTTTTGTGTCCAAACGCGTGACCCGAGTTTAAAAACTTTAACATAACAACATAACAAGTGTATTGAAAGAATTCAACTTTAATTTAAAATAAAGATTTCAAATTTCCGAGCACTAGTCAATTAATAAATTATGCAGTTTTTTTGTATAAACTTTTGATGTTGGCTCTGCGCAAAAACACTGTGGATGGCGTAACCGGAGTTATATGCACAAGAAATATTGTATATGTATTTTTTCTAATAGAAGCGGAGCTTCCTACCCTACTCTTTCCGGAAATTCCTTTGCCCATGTCTTCACTCTTCTGCATCAGTACGAACAACCGCGCAAGTTACTTATAATTTTTGATCTGTAATTCAGACACATACATGCATATGTATATTTCACAATTTTTTACAACTTCCAGTTCAATTGACTTACTTTTTATCCATTATAGTACCACTTTCTTATGTAAATTTTATAAACGCAAACTCCAACGACTATAAAACAGCAATAGAAGGATGAGCGATTAAAAAGTATTCACAGTCGCTAATTGAGCGACTAAGCGACACTCGCAATAGCATCGATAATCGATAATCGCTTAATAGTCGTTTATCTACTGCCAATCGACATTCGCAATAGGGGTGTATATTAACTAGCCTGTCGTTTTGTACACAATTTTGAACCAATAAAATGCATACTTATGTATGTACAAGATTGCGCCAATCGAGCTGAGAGCAACCGGACATGACGTTATCAAATACCAGAATGAGAGAGCAAGGCGAACTCGACAAAAAAAAAAAGAGGAAGAATCGAACAAAAGGCAGTGTTGCCAAGTTTTGAATTTTAAAAAAGCACCAAATTTTTATTTGTGTATTTAATGGACTTTATATGCATAGATAATTTTATTGTAAACCTCCGAGTGTACTCTGCCAGGAAACAGGAAACAGCTTCTCATAAAAAATACAATCGCCATTCGGAGCAGGGAAGATAAATGAATTTTTCGAAATTGTACCAAACGTCAGAACAAAAATGCACCACATCCAATAAAAATGTACCGACAAGAAATTTTAAACGCTTTCACAAAAACAAGGAATGCTTAAAGCAAATATGAATTTACTTAACGCCCTTTAAATATACATCTTGTAAAAATATACATATATATATATTAAAAGTAGAATAAAAATTAGTCAAGCATTTCACTCTCTGTCTGTGTCTGTAAGTCACATTTTGGTTTAAAGACTCTATGGGCTGGTTTCTCCAGCTCAACTTAACTTAGTTTAGCCACTTTTTGGACTTAAGTCAGAAGTTAGCCTACGTTTTACACAGCTTATTCTTGACTAAATCAAGAAAATTGGCTTAACTAAGTTAAGTTGAGTTGGAGAAACCAGCCCTATATGTATTTTTATATCACGACAATAACTTTGAGAAGATTTGATATAATCTTCTAATAGTTATAATCTTAGATTGTGAACAGAATAGACGCGTTTAACATTTGCGGAGGAATGTGGAATAGACAATTGGGGTATTCAAAACGGCGTTGTAAGTGACGTATTGTTGTATGTCGTAAACTTTAAACGCCTAAAAAATATATATTACGGGGGTTCGCAAAGTATCATCAAAGTCATATTATGAATTTAGTCCAAGTTTGTATGAAGTGGAGAATGAAGAAAGTATTTGTATAAATAAGTACAAGTTTTTAACCAACTATATTCAACAATTTTTTTATGAAAAACTATTGTGGAAAAGCAACAAAAATTTGAAAAAATTGTAGAAGTGATAGCTATTTCGGAAATCACCACATTTCCTCATCAGACTTCTTTCAGTGGGATCCGATCCAACGACCCCAGCTGACTCAGCCAGTTACCTACACACTGTGCTAAGTTCGTCTTAATTCTTGTTGCGTCCCTCCAGGAAATTTATCTAAATATAAGCTAACTTCAAGTTGATTATGAAGGAGCTAAAAGTCACTTATTATCTGTATATTTTCTTTGACGAAAGCTAACTATATTTGTATGGCGATGGGCGCGAAATAGTCAAGGGTGGTTACCTCTGCATTTGATGTAACTAACTTGTGACTAACTACTTTCGGACATAAAATATCAATAGGAAAAACAAAATATTTTTTTTTATTTTTTTTTATTTACTTTATTTATTTTATTACAATTCATATTTGTTTCCATATTCTGCCGTAGGTGGTCCCATATTCAAGCTTCGTCAGACATAACTTCAAAATGATAATATGAAATTTTGATCTTCCTTTAATTTGTCCTCAATTCGAAAAAGTATTTGCGAAGTGCAAGATATTTAAATAGAAACGCGTTTAAAGAAAAGAATCTCCATCATTACTCCTGCATTACTTGTCAACTAGTTTCAAGTTAGCTTTTTGTAGCTAACTACACGTTATATATTTTATAGAAATCCCGCAAAAAAGCTAACTACAAGTAGGTTATTTTTTATCAACTGATAATTTTTTCTGCAGGGTTTTTTTTCAACTTTTTCATTTATTTATTAAGCCAACTAAAATCAAGCGCAGCTATTCCACTGCTATTTAAACTTAATCGTGTGGTTGTTCGTTTTGTTGGTTTTTGTTAATTATTCTATTTTTAGAATGTTTAACTTTTAGGTGCGCTCGTCCTTAAGTTATTTGTTTTTGTTATTTATGGCCTTATAACAATTATATTCAACAATTTTTATTGAGCTTGAGGCCGTTTTTAACCAACGTAAATATAAAACAAATCAAAATATACTCAGCGCTGCATTTCCAAATTGTACCAAAAAGGTCTATGTGGTGTCAATGTACTTTTTGGTTTCAAATTGTACCAAAAAAGCACAATTGTGGCAACTTTATCATCACTGGTTCGGCGTCGGCGTAAAATTGTAGGTCCCTCCCCTTTGTATGACAACATCAAGGCGCACGCCACAAATCGGAGCAAAAGCTCGGCCATACACTAACAAATTGTGTAAGCGCCAATCTTTTTCATTTTAGGTGATGGGTGGATTCCTACTACCTATATTGTGTCTGTGACTGTGAGAGTTAACAAGGAAAGAAAGCTATCGAAGATGACTCCTCGATTTTTCATGCTAGCTGAATTAGTGATTCATCGACGTAGTAATTACTTGACCTCTTTCATTGTGGTAAGCAGGGTATCTTTTAAACACAGGCCTCATTTCCATTTCAGGACATTATCACAAATCAAAAGCTCAAAGAGATTCCTCTCTTGTAACCCCCTTGTTGTCATAGTCTGGATATCTGATACCGAAAGATTGCTAAGTAACGTTTTTTCCAGTCCAAATAATTAGCAAACAGTGATTATATTCCAGCTTGGAGAGATGAAATCTCCATG